CATCTAACACTTGTAGATCACATTTCTTGCAATCAGCTCCTCACACCCTGTAGACACACCTGTCTACAGAAGTTAACAAAGTTAACACGATGTTAACAAACTCTTCTGTCTTTGTCTCGTGCACATTTTCACCAATAGAGAGAAAAGTGTATTACTGGGGCACAGAAAACAAGCAGCACATCAGGTTAAACCTATTGCAGTTCTGTATTGTAAGGAGGATGTGTTAATGGGGCTTTTCAGGCGAGTCTGTTCACCTCTGAGTGCTTGTGGGGGATGCTGGGTGGTATAATGATAGAATTTTCACATGACCAGAATTTCATTACATCATCTGTTAGCATATGGAATGCCACAAGGGAACTCTACTTTATTTAACATAGTAACAATGAACAGCTGGCTGCATTACAGTTCCCTGTGTCAGAGAGGATACAGTCAAAATATATTAGTATAGTTTAAAACATTCAAATTACTTTTTTGTGGGCTGGCCAGTATGCCCCTTGAGTGAGCAAAAACAAGGAAAAGACAACTCGATAGTGGAAATAAAATGTCAAACATAATGAGAGCCTGAGCTCCAAGAGAAGAAATGTTGCCATGAAAGGTGTTAGAGGGATTTAACCTATTAAGGGACATGGATTTTAAAGGTATCTAGTTTCCAGGACTGCTCTGTTGTCTACCAGGATTTTCAAGCCAAGAGTTATATATGATACAATGTTGATATCACTATTCTGATAAAATTATGATTTTACTCGCCTGAAAATTCCAGTGTTAAAAATGTCAGCTATTAGCTCCTTTTGTAGCTCTGTGAGTTTAGCAGGGATATTTGATCATTCCCAGCTACTGGCATTGCCTTGTCTGCTAAGGTTGTTCTGCAGCCCCTCTGCCCCCTTCCCCTCCAGCCATGTCAGACAGCATCATTGCAGCTGCAAGAGGGCACTAGACAGCTCTGACAGTTTTGATATGTGCTATGTAGAGAATTCTACATAATGTGCCTTCTGCACCGTGTGATGTGGCCCAAAAGCTGGCATGTGCAGTTGCAGCCCCTGTAAAGGCTAACAGACTGTGAGCTGCTTTTCACTGTGCAGCCTTTATCAAGTTTCCTACTTTTCCCAAGTCTCAGCTGCTAGAGCATCAGGATTAAGTATAATTTTCTCATGTGTTTTGATGGATTGACAGAGTTCTGTGCTCTATTCCATAGCAAAACAGAAATACTCTGCACAAACTCCCATTCATGTAGGATTTTTAGTGACGTTCACTGGAGTACACACAGTATTATACAAGTTAATAATAGGAAGAAAGATGTCACTTCTTGACAGTTTGAGGTACTACCCACAGACCTTTGCAAAGTGCTTTGCAAATGTAGTTTTACAAGCTGAAAAGGACATTGTGTTCCCGCAGTTGCTATAAAAGATCTTTTTGTAGTATTAAAGCATGGATTGACGGGAAGCTTTCTCTCACAATTGGCCTGATTTTTTTGTTAAGTATTCATGGTTATACCTTGGCATTTGTATTTTTCTGATAGCCAACAGAATAACACTGCCATTAGCTTTTCTTGCCATTAGGTGCAGTTAGACATATTCAGCATGTCCAGTCTTACAGGAGCTGGTGTCTTGAGGCACTGGTATTTGCACTGCTTTTTCCCCAGCTCACCTGCTATTCTGCTTTGCAGGCAGATGGCCAGAACAAAGAAAGGATTTCCAGATTTGGCCTTACAAACCGCTGAATGAACAACCACTTGAAGTTTAAGTACACAGTTAAATGTAACTTAGTCATACTTAAATGGCCAGATGAAAGGGGATTCAAAGTTGGGAAGGAAAAAAAAAGAGCAAAATGCAGCAATAATCTTGAGTTATCACCTTCAAAGGATGTTTTCAAGAAGATGTCCATGTTTAAGGTTGAGCAATTGGATAAAGGACTGCATGATATCTGACAGATTATTTTCCTTCAGAAATGCTTTTCTGATCTGTTGAAGACATTGAGAGGGAAACACTTTACAGTTCTTCTGAAACAAATACAAAGAGACTGACATTGTCTCACATCTTACAGTCACTGATGGGGAAAGTGAGGACTGAAGGTGGTCAGGATGGGTGAAATCTGCTGCCTGGGTCCAGAACTGACAAATGCACTTTTGGAAATGGACTAGAAAACACAAAATGCAAAGGTTCTGCTGGTCTGCAGCAAGGAAATTATGTTCCTGCCTTTCTAGAAAGAGATGTTGAAACACAAAGCTGCTGTTCTTAAACACAGCTCCTTGTGCAGAGGTGTTAAATCAGTTTATTTACCTAACACAAACATGACTAGAATCTGTGAGGAGGAAGGTGCCTGTCTCCTGCAGCATCCCAGCTGAGGAGACAGACAGCAGGACGTGCAGGCAGTGCTGGTTAAGGGAGGGATAAAAGCAGTAACTTGACTCAGCTCAGTCTTTTGATGGGAACAAGGGAATTGGAATAGGAGATATAGCATTTCATGTTAACTTGAACATTTCAAATTACAGAGAGGACACAAATGTAGTAAAAAATTTTACTGTCTTCAGAATAATGGGGAGATTTATCATGTTTTTGTGTGTTGGAAAATGCTGCAATTAAGACTGCACTATAAAACCAGGTATGAAAAGAGCTATTTTCAAGGTTCTCAAACTCTGACAAATTCTTCTTTTAAGCTTTTTTGCTTCCCCAAAAAGTGGGGAAAAAAAAATCATATGATGAAAAAAATCATAATTGTGAGCCCTTATAAAGCTTGTTTAGAAAAATGTAGAAAATTAAATATAATATATATTCTAATTCCAGTTTGCATAATTTAACAAAAATAAGTTTAGAAGCACTACAGTAGGGCTCAAAAGTGGTAAAAAGTAGCTCCCATATAGCATTTTCTATACCTACATTTTTTAATAAAGAATATCTTGACACAGTTTTTGCCTAAAATTATGCATCCTAAATATTTCAGCACTGAGGAGGTAACACGTACGCCTTAATATTCCCCTTTCTAAAATTTAGCATTGCCCTTATAATCAGGTTTTGATGTCTCATATGACTTTCAAAAGTCAGTCACTCTGTTACTCTTCACTATTTGGTCAATGCCTGTTTTGCTGTAAGCAAAAAACTTAGCAGTTTTCATGATTCAGTTTATCTATCTGCCTAAAGGTTGATTGCCTAAAAGTATTCCTGTAAATGCTGTGCCACAATGGACATTTCAGCCTGGAATATTCTGGTGCTGAGCAAGAGCTGATCCCAGGTGGGATCTCCTACCTGCTGGGAGGATACTCAGTAGTTAAGAGTTGGAGCACTAAATAGTCTGCAAATAAAACATTTCATAAACCAGACTGTATTTAGCCTCTGTGTTTTCATTATAGCTATTTTCCAGACACCAAAAGTTGAGTTTATTTTTTGAAAGAGACTCCACAAGTATAAACTAGAGCTTAACTTTTTATTATTTGTAAATGTTACATTTTTTATTGCTGAAAAGCTGTATCAAAACTTTACACAGGACATTGAATTCAGTGCTAGTAAGGGAAAATGATCCATCCTCCCTATGTAGAAAGCATTACATCACGAAGGGATGGAAACAAAGAGCTCTGAGGGACTGGGATAGGCAAACTTCCCTCCATTCACAGGAAATGGGTGAAGCCTTGCTTGAAATTATTATTCAGACGTTTTGTGCTGTGAAGGAAATGTCTCCTGATAGCACAAGCTATTGGTTTCCTGTTGTGAACTAACAGTTTTGGCATAACCAAGAATGGACAGGAAGGGCAAATGATTGGGGGTCATTGGAAGAACTTATTTTAATGAAAAGACCAGAGCTAGTAAGTGGGAAGAAATTTGGCCTGAAAAAAACCCCTGAAATTAAAATGGGGGTGGGGGAAGGGGAAAGAAAAGGGCTCAGATGCTGATGCTGCAGTGGAAATAAATCTTTGTGGAAATAAATAATAACAAAAAAAATGTCCCCCATGAAACGTTCACAGGGTTAGCAGGGGGAACACTGTTGTTGGGCAGGAAGTATCACAGGGGGAGAAAGCCCTTTGTGTCCTACCTAATTAAGAGCCTGATTCAACAAATATATATCCGGCTTCTACACCGAGGAGAGCAATTTTTGGAAGTTTTCACAGATGCGGAATTGTTTGGGTTTATTTTACAACTAGATCCTTATTACAGAGGCACTTTCAAGTGCTGTTTTTCAAGCAGGGTGTATAAATAGCAGTGCCAGCAGGTCCCTGCACTGCCTAAGTGCTGGGCCAGCTGAGTGTGTCCCTTCCAGGCAAAGGGAACACAGGCAAAGGCTCACAGGACATGTTCTGCTGTGAGAGCCAAGAGGAGGAGGCTTCCCTTGTCCCTCCTGGGTCTTTGGGGATCTGGGTCTCCTCCTGAGGCTCGCTGCTGGGCCCTGCAGATCTCCTCTCGAGGAGACAGAGCTGGTTCCAGCTCCAGAGCCTCCCTCCTGGAACACCCCAGGGGTTGCAGGATGGCAGGGCATGGCAGGGAGCACCCACTGAGCTCTGCCCTGTCACTCACTGCTTGCTTCATCAGCAGCAAAAAGGCAATCAAAAAAATCTCTCCAGTGTCACAGGCTTCTTTTTAAAATGTCAGCCTAAGTTTCACTTCAATCATTCAAAGTGCCTCAAGGCTATTGCTAAAAATCAATGAAATCTGTTTGGACTTTTGTGTTATGTACTTTTGGAGCAAGCATTTTCACCCTTGCAAAGATTATTTTGATTGTATGGAAAGTCAGTTTGTAGAAAATGGCTGCCTGGTTCAGAAAAAAACATGGAAAGAGTCACTTTGTTTTTGCAGATGCTTAAAAGGCTGCCTCTAAAGTATCTTTTATGATGCCAAACCCAAAAGAGTTTATAAAAAATGTGTCTGTATTTGTTTTTGGATTTAATTTATATAGAATTTTTAAACCCATGTACAACATTTCTGTTTTCCACTCTTAGAAAAATACAAACTTCAGCCACATTGGAATCATGTTGTTTTTTTATTTAACATCTTTTAAATATTTTTGTTTCCATTTAGGACTGCCAGCATTACTATGGAAACCCCCAAAAATAAAGACTCCCAGCCTTGTGAGAGTACACCTGCAAGAGTAAGAGCTGCCTATCAAAAGTGACTTCTTCATTATGGATGTCACCTAAGGACATTTTGTGTGGTCAGTATGACTTTTTCTCTCAAAATATATTGAAATTATATTCTTAGCATTAATACAATTTGGTATCTTGCCAAGGACTAGTAACAAATGTCTGTTGCTATCCAGTAGTGCTCTCTTTAATACACTATCTCAGTTTCAAGAGAAAACCAGCTCTTGACAAAATGTAGATTTGAGTTTGGAAGCCCTTAAATATCAAGATGAAATAAGCACTCATCTCAGTGAGATAAACATGTAAAATGAAGATCTAATAAGCTGTTTTAATATAAATCATTCCACTGGCTTCAGAAGGACTTGGATCAGAGTTACAAAGAGAATTGCAAGAATTCATCTGCTGCTTCCTAGTAGATAGGTGGAGCATATTTACTAGTGAGCAGTTGGCTGCTATCAAAATGGATCTGTTTAGACTTTTCCACATTGCTAATTTTATATTTTTTGTTGTTACAGAATTAAACGGCTTGATCTGAAATTTTACAATTGAATTAGTTCTGTGCAGTTTTCAAATTAACAACAAAAAAATTTTAGTTCATTACAATGGCTTAGCATGTATTTTTTCAAAGGAAAAAGGTAGCTATGGTGGTGGGACTGAATTCAGATAACCTGGCAGTATCTATGAATAATATTTCAAGAGAATGTTTTTGAAATAACAAGCTTTCAAACCAACAAGATATTTCCATTCTTTTGGTGCCTACTTTCTGTTTTTAACAGAATTTTCTATTCTACTTGCCAAATTGTTAAAATTTACAGTATATGAAGGATATTGATTTGTGTACTTTTCTGCAGTGTAGTGGCAATTTGACAAGTCTGCATCTGTAATGAGCACCACTGGAAAAACAGAGATTTTTTTGGTTTTTTTTCTATATTAATGACATTCTAAAACCAGTGAAAAACTGAACTTTAAATATTGCTAGAAATACACCTTTGTGTTATTACCAATAGCACAGGAAAATCACCTACATATTTTTTTGCTGCTGTTTGAACATACTGAAAAACCTAACTTAAATGCACTCAGGTGTCACCAAGATCTGCTTTTCACTGCTGTTTCAATGAGCAAAGTCCTTGCAAGAACTGTGTTTCAGCATAGACAAACCTCAGAAATGCTATCTGTAACATCTCCATGGTTTGCCTAATACCAAATGATCCTGTTCAAGTCAATAGACACCTTGGGAAATTAGATGCTATTCCAGGTGAAGAGGAGCATCAGACCTCAGCTCTCTGGGAGCAATGAAGTACTAAAGGAAAGAGCAAATTGAGTCCTCAAACCAAGTGTTTGCAGTACAGAGCAGAGTCTAAAGAGGGAGGGATTCATTCTAGCAGAACATCTAGCTGTACATGACAAATTAGTGTCATGACTATTGATGGCACTGTCTCTGAATATAATCTCATCAGAATATTATATTTTTGCAGGACTGGAGCTTCTTGTTGTACAAATGAAAAATTTTCCCAAAGAAATCTGGTGTTTGGAAGCAGAAATTGTTCCAAAAGTGCACAGGTACTATCAACAAGAGTACTGAAGTAATCTTTGCTGTATTTACCAGCTTTAGGTACTGCACTATGAAATTTCTGGATGTTTGCAGTCAATAAGGTTTCTGTGTCACAAAAGAAATGTTTCCCCAACAAATGCTGATTCAAATGTTATACATTCCCACTGCTTCAATTTTTGCTCTAGGCTAAGTAGATGATTATTAGTGTTGCTACAAGCTGTCATATTACTTCTGCTGCCCACCAAGGAGGTGGCTGTGTTGCAGCATTAGGCAGGGAGTGCTCCTGTGTGCATTTGAGCCCAAAAGGACCATTTCAAAAGGTTGTTGCCTATGTTCATTGATACCCTCTAAGGGTGATTGTTGTTGCAGATGGAAGCAGAAATTTCCCTGAGATGGTGGGTAGGAGTGGCAATCAGATGAAACTGGGAAAGGGTTGTAAGTGCTTTAAATTTTTCTGTGGCAAAAAGTTGAAACTGCGGATAGGTTAAAGAATGATGGGTTACCATGCAGGGTTAATTTTTCAGGAAGGAAGTGGAGAAATTATAATGAAATTAATTGTAGTGGAATTTGTAAACTGGCATAGAATGGAGGTCAGTCATTGTAAAATTATTCCTCTTCCTTTGGCTGGATGCTCTGTGCAAGCTGTTATTCCCCCTCCTACAGTGTTAAAATCACTTCTTTCATTTGTGTGTGCTTTCTGGAACTGATGAGATTAAAACAGCATAATACCACTTCAACTCAATAGGGAATGATTGCAACTGAAAAGCATTTATTTATTTGATGTGAATCATTCTGTAGCACATTTCAGTTCCATACTGGAGAGGAGGATTTTTGTCTTTAAAATGTTTACTTAAATAGGAGAAGCAAGAAGATGTCCCTGTCCCTGTCCCTTTACTTTGCTAATGCAGGCAACACACACCTCACTTCATAGTGCTGATGTATTGCAAGGGGGCATCTAGGATAGTTTCAATTATTCTACTGTTCACTGTTACCACATCAAGCCTTTGCAGTTGTATATGAGGATGCTGGTCAGTGTAAAAAAGAAATCATAAAGCAATATAAGTTTCCTAGAAAAGGTTACAAACAAAAAAAAAAAAAAAAAAAAGTGGATTTTATTGTAATGCCACTGTCTTTTGGCTCTACCTTGCTAATATTTTTTAAAATGAGCTAGACATTAAATAGCCACAGTGTTGTCTAAAAATAAAGTTGAAGATTTATGGGGAAAATTTTGTCCTGATTAAAAGGACAGATGAATTGCGAAGAGAATGACTTAATATTATGGTAACCATAATATTTGACTTTTAATTGTACTAAAAAACACTTTAATGTCAGCTGTCTTACGCTAATGCATAGCTTTACTTTCTTTTTTTTTTTTCAACTTAGTTAACAGTTCAGATCAGATCCTTTTATTCCAATTTACATACATGCCAGTCATTGCAGGATGGGACTAACACTTGTATTGTAGCAAGAGCAAAACAGAGTTTGTAGAAAAAGAACATAAACAAAAAAATCCTTTTTTAGGCCAGTTAATATAATTAGAAAGAACAGGCAGGCTTTTGGTCTCAAAGTCCTTTCTCTGGGTCTGAAAAGGAGCAGCAGAATCTAAGACAGAGACAAAATTAGGCCCAATTCCTCTTAGTTTAATCTAATTATGTTAGTCAGGACACTTGAGAGATAAGGGTGCTTTGTATGTGTAGAGCAAAGCTCCCTTCCACGTTACTGCAATCATACTCTGCTGGGAAAAGCTGTGTTGCAAGGAGAGCTGCACAAGCCATACATCAGTTTCCAGAGACCTCCTGGGGTCCCTAATTGCTGGCATGCACCCAGCCACACTGGCAGCACACACAGTCCTCAGGCCAGGCACTGGAATACAGCCTTTGGAGTGGCTCAGTACAAGTGAACATCACGATCCGAGGTTTGCATGTAGAGCTGCCCTGGACCTGTGGCTTCCTCAGCCCTGTCTGACTGCAGAGGAGCCCGAGTCCTGCGCAGAGACTGAGAGCAGCTCAGTGCCTGGGACTTCAGGAGCCTCTCTGGAGTGTCCCCCTGAGCTGCTGTGTGGACAAGATTCCAAACAGGCAAGTGAATAGAGTAGCAATATTCCTTGGCTTCCTTGGCCATCTGGATGTACTGCTATCACCAGGCTCATTTTCAGCTTGATGAATGTAATGATTTTGGCAATGTCTGTGGCTGCTACCAATCATTCTTTTAACAATTTCCATTACCCTGGCCAGTTATTTTCAGGGTCTTGGCCTTTTCTATCACAGCTATGTGTTTTTATGTTTCAAGATCTCTGAAGAGCAACTTGTACAAGTATGTCCTTTTGTGTCTACTCATCTTGGAGCCATTTATATACAGCAAATGCCTTTTGAATGGGCTTGTGACAAAGTGACTCAGGCAATGCTGCTCTAAAGGACCTTCCCACAGACAGTGAGTAAAAAGGAGACAAGCATCAGCTCTGCATTTTGCTGGACAGGGAAAACACACTAAGCATACAGTCAGGTGGAAAGTAATGTGGGTTTCATAATGGTGTCAGTAGCAGACCCCAGCTGTTCCCTGTGATACAGCACACGTAGGGACTCTCCAGACAGGGCTGGTTTCAGCTCCATTTTACTCTACAGTTTTGTCAATCTTCAGGCTTTTTCAGCCCCAACAGGCATCTCCTTGTGTATTTTAAGCTGAAAGAAAAATCAGCAAACAAAAACTGAGTCTACACAGGCACCCAGAAACAAAGCTGTCATTATAGGACATGCAACTGCTTTTTCTGAAGCATTGCTAAGTCTCATTCTCTCAGATCCGTACACACTGTCCTGCTCACGTCTTAGACCACTGGGGGAAAAGTTCCCAAACGTGCTTGAAATACTAAAGTAGTCCCAGGAGGAAAAACCTAAACAAACACTATCCCCCTCACTGAACACACCCCATCCTTCCCTAACCTAGGCAGCCACTGACACTCTTATCACTTTCTGCCAGCAACCCTGACTGTTCTATTCTTCCCAAGGAAGGCTCACACTGCTTGTACAGTTTTTTGTCCACCCCTGTGCATTGTATGCCTCACTTACTGAGCCAGCTGTTCTGCTGATTCTTAGAAGGGCTTTCACAGAAAGGAATTCAGTGTAAAAATGCTGCTGCCCTGAGACCAGGTGGTGACTAGCGGTGACTGGTCATTAGGTCAGCCCCGGTGACTTGTGGTGACTGGCACCATTCGTTACAAAAGGGGCCAAACAGCCAGACAGACACTTTGGCAGAATGGCTTCTGAGTGACAACTTTCCTGTTATCAGTCTTTACCAGCATATGTACATATCACAGTAAAGTAGACCAGGCATCTCTAATTACCATTGCTAACTCACAAAAGTAGGGTTGGCTAGTCTTAGCTTCTTAACTAAGAAGAAGTTATAATAAAAAACAAAAACTGCACTTGGTGAAAAATATCAGTTACCACCTGAAATAAAGACATTGCAGATGTCATTTCCTTGAATATATGGTTAATAGTTTCAAATCTTAGAAAGCATATGCCAGCTCCTCCCCATCATACAGCTGTACCAACTCCACAGTTTTTGGATGAAGTTCAAATCTTGTTTTTAGTAGGATGAGAACTTTTTCCAGCACTGTAGTTAAGCAACAAGGATAATTCCAGTAATAAGATAGAAAAATGAAAGTACCTTAGCAAGCAGGTAAAGATCTAAAGCCTTGGGAAAGGCTGTGTAAGCTTTCAGCACAAATAGAACCATAGCAAATTAAGCAGGTTTGCTAAAATTGTACCTGAGATGGCCACTCCTAGAACAAGGTCTTGAGCCACAACCTAACTTCTCCTTTCCAGGCAGCCCCTGCAGACGACCTGAATCCAGACTGTCTAAAAGTCCCATGTTCTCACTTGAGGCCACATCAACCCTTACCAAAAAGGTCACAGAACATCTTGTTTGGCTGGCCTCAAACTTTATGGTCTCATCACAAGGACAGATGGGATGTGGGGAGCTGACAGGGACAGGTAATGCTCAGGGCTTGCCAGCACTGCAGGATAAGGGTCAGATGCTGGGAGTGAACTGTAGTTTCTCTCCAAGTGTACTGATTATTTCAGCAGTCCCAAATGTGATCCTGGGACCTGATCAGGAGTTTCATTCAAAGCAGTAAATTTGTTCTTTAGGCTGTACTCAACTCACGGAGCTTCTTTATCCGGTGGATCAAGGAAAGCCCCCAAAATTACACATTAGGTATGCACAGTTTCATAGCAAATGCAAATACACACTTTAAATGTCATATGAATGCAGTGGATTGTATTCACAGCATGCTGGTGGCCTACTTAAATACTAGCATTTTCTTCTCTTCAATGCATATGTAATTTATAATAGCCAGCTAACATCAGGAAGCTCTTCCTGCTCCTAGGCTGAAATGCTTGTATATTATACTTATATACTGTGCTACCCCCAAAGACTAATAGTAAAACAAAATAGGGAAATTCACTCCCTAGAGAGAAGACTCCTCTAGGCTTTAAGAACACATAACTTCCAATTAAAGCTTTACAGAAGAGCTGATATGTGCACTGTGACTAAGGCTCAAGACTACCCCAATGTATTTCTGTCTGAAGAAGTGCCTATGGCACTGCTGTAGTATCACAAACATGTACCAGTAAATCCACCTCTCAATGCAGTTCATCTCTCTTGGGAATGAAGTTCATCTTTCACGATACAGCATGGTCTTCTAAACAGAAGGAGAAAGAAAAAAACATTTATCATTCTTGTGCCAGGCAGAGTTCAACTTGAAAGAAACTGGAGGAAATGTGTATCATTCATCTAAGGAACAAATCCACACTACAGATTTGTCTGAGAGACAAGTGAATGTGTTCCAAAAAAGCTATCCATTTCAGAATGGGAGGCTTGAATCCAGTCCAACCAGAAAATGCATGCTGAGTAGCATCCATTTATTCAGAGTAGTAATGGTTTCTTCTAACAGCACATTGCCTTGATCATTGTGTTAAACATAGTATATATAACCAACAAAAATTCCCATCTTTGCAAATGCAGGCTATCTGCCAGTTCCACAAAGGGATTTTTTTTTCTAAATAGCTACTGCATAAGGAGTGTTGCCTGCAGAGCAGGTTTTGTGTGCTCAGCCTACTGCGATCATCAGGTCTGAGAGCACAGTAAATGGAATTCACAAGCCTTTCCAAGTCACCTCCTGTGTAAAGCCCTGAACAGACAGTCCCAGAAGTGAAGTAAGGAACAACTTCCCTCTCCGCCCCTTTGGGCAGCTCACATACGTGCTTTTAGCAATACCTAAAACAAGAAAAACACCTACAGCCACTTCACTGGGACTGGCGGAAACAGAACGGAAATGAGAAACTGATTAAGTGGAGAGCCAGCTTCACACGCAGAGAAACTTCCAACTTTCGTTCCTAACGACTTTTTAAAAACTGCTTCAGTTTTGCTTGTATTCCCTTTGAAAAAAATAAAAATCTTGGCCCATGAGCTCTCAGTGCCTACACAGATGAAAGCTGTGAGAGGCCTTAAATGACTTCAGCAGGAAACTACTGGGAAGGGGAGGGGTCTGTTTTCTGACAGTCCCATTACACATTTCTAGGAAAAAATCTTTTCAAGTTCTGTGGACGAAAACGAAACAGAATTACAGCACTGCCTCTCTCTTGGAGACAATCAAAACAACACTTTTCCTGCTTCCATGCTGGAGTGCTGCAAAGTAATTCCCTTTTTTTATCTGTCCTCCTCTCTTTCTCAGGATCTTGGTGTCAGGAATAGCACCTCAGATTGAAGAAATTGTTAGAATCAGTTGCATTCTGATCTGCTCAAATAGGAACTGTGTTTCAGGTAAACTTTGGGAATACTTTGTTCTGCAGTTGCATTCATAAATCCTTCTGCCATTTCCCAAATACCTCACAAACTGTTTGGGGAGCTCAGGAGTTTTCTGTTTAGTAGTGATGACAAAGCACTTGACCACTGCAAAACCACAGCAGGGAAGCTGAGCAGTAACAGACGTCAGCCAACGTCACCCCCAGATCACCAGGGTGGAAGGTCATCCTCAAACAGTATTTCCATTTTTCCCATCTTGGTAAATTGCTATGGGAAAAATCCTCTTTTTTTAGTGTAATGTAGTTAAAAATTAGAAAGTCATCACCATTTACACAAAGATGGAATTGCTGGCTGTGTTGGGAATTTTAACTGATGTCTCCACCCAAGCAGTGTGTGGAACCAGTGTAAGGGCTAACACAATTCAGAGTTTAAAATGGAGTGATGTTGCAGCTCCAACTATTTTTTTAAGTCAGTACAAGAGATCTTTGGAAGCATTAGAGAAGAAATAGAAACAGAGGTGAATTATGGCTTCTAGTCTGATGATGTGCACGAAGGAATAAGTGAGTGACAGGGTAAAAAGCAAGAAAAATGTAAAGCATCACTGGACAGTATTACATAGTGCAATGCTAAGGACCAAGAGAGCCACAGAAAAGTGATGACTGTTGAGACACATCTCATGGGAAACAGGTGCATTGTTTTTCATCTGTGCTTCTAGAAAAGGCACAGTCCTCAAAGGTGAAGATACACGACAGCCTGGGATAGACAATACAGCTTTTGTTCTGATGAAGAAAGGTTCACTGTGAGCACTTGGCCCAACTGCCCTTAACAGTTCCTGTGACTCAATGTGCTCTACAAATCCCTCAGTTATCAGCAAGCTACAGCTCCCTATTTATCTGCTCATCCAAGCTAACTCTGCAAGGGCTTTTTTATTCCCTAAGAACTGAGCTGTACTGTTTGACCAAACAAATTTCCATCTTCCTTCCCAGTCCTAACATGCAGAGACCCAAAATCACTGGCAGGGCACAATGATGACAAACATTTACCTTATTACCAAATATATTTCCAAATAGGTCCCTGTTTATAAGCAGAAGTTCTCAACCAGCTGCTAGTTCTGATGCAGATTTTTAGCAATTTAATAATTACTTAGTATTAAATGAGTATTTAGTAATAATTTGGTAGATCTGCTCTCTATCTGGAGATGTTAGATACAAAAAATTTATCCAGTGAAGAGAATCATGGTACAAACTCTTGTCTCCACTGAAAACAGAAGCTGATTTGCTGCCAACATCAATGCTTTATATTTGCACTGGGTACCATGCTGTGTATTAAAAAATAATTAAATAAATAGATAAGCAATGGAACTATTTGACAAGAACTAAAGAGGGGTGAGATATTTAATAAAACAATTCTGGGGCTTTCATCTCAAAAACTAAGTTAAAAGATTGCTTATAAATAATAAAAAATTCTGTATTTCTTTGAAAAGTCAAAATATCCAAACCTCATGTACTGCAGCTCTTCACTAACATTACAACAACCTCTCTCAGAACACGTGAAACATGTACATCCCAGTTTCATACCTGCAGGTAGGACTCACTCTGCAAACCAGACCTAACTCAGAACATTTAGCACATTCTAAAGGGGTATAATTCCACCCCCCACCCCCCAAAAAATGATCTGAGAATTCTGTATTTTCTGGAGTGGTGAAATTAAACAGTTTGAAAATAATATGCTTCAGGCTCACAAGAGTCCTCAAATACTACTGCAAATACATCAGCATTTAAAATTACTATGTTGAAATTATCATCAATCTGACTTTGGCACAGTGCTAGCTTTTTCCCTTAGAAATAAATTTAATATCATTACACTCTGTCACTAACCAGGATTATTTGATTCTGAGGACAAATTTATACAGTTGCTATCACTGAAGCACATATAGAAGCTGAGCACTTGTCTAAAATAAAACTGTAGGACGTCAATGCAAATCAACAGTAAAAATATATTTTAGAACGATGTGAAATGTAGAATAACTTAGTTACAGAGCATCTTAATGAGTGAAAGAAACATTGTTTTGCAGCCCACTTCTGAAAACTAAAGTAGTTTGCTTTTTCCCCATTGATAGAAAGAACCTGCAATTTTTTGGCATAAACCCCCCACATTTTAACCTGTTCTTTTTGATAAATAGACTTTGAAAGGAGAAAAATATGAAGGAAGGCTTTTGTGAATCGTGTAGGTTATAAATTTTTTTGGCAGCTGAAATTCTTTAAATTTTGGAATTAATAGTTCTGAGGTAGAGGGGCTAGTTCAGAGATATTGAAAGAAAAGTGTCCATCTTACAGGATCTTCCTACAGCTGTACTGTGGACATTCTTTATGCTCTATTCTCTTGACAGGAATGATTTTCCTTGGACATCAGTGATTCATGGAAACTCCAGATCACTTCAGTAAAATGCAGTCTCACAAGGAAGAACCTGCAACGTCTCAGTCTCAGAAATGGGATCCAAACCCATTGAGTAAGTGCATCTTCCATAAGTGAAACCTGTCCATCTTCTAAAATCATCTCATGGGAAGAGATGTCCACAGTAACACTAAACCACTGTAACAGCAAGCCAGGTAAAACTATGGCTATGGTGATACTTTTGGGAAAAGCTTTTAAAAAGTACCTAAACTCTTTTTTCATAATGTTTCTGTCAGACAGATTTACTAGATTTTAGAAGTCTTTGTTTTACTCAAGCTTCTTTCTCATCACCCCTGTACATTTGCAAAGTGTAATTATCATCCAGGGAAAGTCTTCTACAGACCACCATATTTTCAAAGGAAAAGGGAAAAATACAGCAAAGGCTTCAAAGATGTGAGTGAATTATTTCATTCACAAGTGCAGCATGTGCTCTCTCTTCTGTAATGACACAGTACTGAAAACAAGAGGTAATTAATGCAATTCCTTTGCCAAATGAGTGGGATCTTATAAAGAATTGGCACATAATCCTGATTTGAGCTTTCTTGTTTTAAACAAAACCAAACCTAATACAGAACAATATAATGTACTAGCACGGTCCTTCACCATATTTTCCTTTTTTCCCCAATATGAGTGTCTGCAAAGTGCTGGGCCTGCAATCAAAGGACACTCAGTGTCCAAACCAGCACTGTTGATGCAGCCAGACATTTCTGTGTACTACAGTACAGTCATGAAAGTGAACCAAAGAAGAACATTTGGTCTTTTGTTGTCTTACATACCAAGACAGAAAAACATAGCTCTTCCTCTGTTCTACCCAATGAACAGATGTAGGTTTAATCACATACAAAAGAAAATGCTCACAAGTTTCAGACTTTCTCATTTCTCAAGCATTACTTTCTCAAAGAAAGTAATTTTCATCTAATTATCTTGAAACTGTCCATAAAAAGAAGATAGGTAAGGAATTGGATAAATTCACCAAATAGGGTTTCCTGTGGAGTTATTTTCTTCAGCTGGAGAGAAACCTAAGGTAATTTTCATAAACAAAAAACTCATGGCAAGATAAGAAAAGAAGCCTCAGGGTCCAATATAGGAAAGTTGCAGGAGCTTCTTCAATAAATAGCTATTACAGAGCAGTATAAATTCAGATGCCTCCTCAAAGCTGCGGATCAACCCAATACACAAGGTTAGCAAATAGCAGAGTTTGGTAAAATAGAAGCAGAAAATGCCACACAATAGCCCAAAAGGACACCTCAAGGGCTGTAACTTTAATCTTGCCACTAACCTACTATCCAGCTACTCCACCTCCCCCCCAACTCAAATCACCTCATAAATACCTAAGGCAGATTAGCCTTCCTTCTGAGGAGCATTAGAGCTCTGACAGACTGTGTGAAATGCAGATCCAGGGAACCCAGATCTGGGGCAACTCTTCAAGACACGTTTTGAGAGGATGTAGGTGGCATGGAGGATGGAATTTGCATCCAGAGAAAACAGGTATGTTTCTAATGCCATCTGGCCCTTGGTTACCAGGCTCTATCCTCATGTACGTGGCTTCTACAAGGATAACATGCACAGAGTACAAAGAGATCTTGCTTCCACATCTGGGTGTTGCACCAGGAGCAGAGGGTGGAGGAACAGAGATGAAATCTGTGATTCTGAAAGTAAGATGCACAATGCTGGCATCTGGCAGCCATAAAAGACACATGAGGTAGAGCTGGGCCTCTGGCCTGTTGCCAGCCAGGGCGCCTGCAAGGATAACAAGAGCTTGTAACCCCTGCAGAAGGGTCAGGATGGCAGGAACACAATTATGGCCCATGCTGCTATTTCAACTACAAATTCCCTAGCTTCCTAGAGTTTCAGTAAGAGTCTACCCAACATCCTAAATTAATTTTAAAACCACAGGCATTCAAAGTTCATTGCAAATGACCGGGCCCACGAAACATCCAGACATACACCTCCCACAGAAAATCAGTGGGAGTTAAGCCCCTAAATACTCCTCTACTTCTGTCCAAATATTTCCCCTTTTTCCCCCTTGAAAACCCCAAGTTGTGTCATCCCTTTGAGCCTCTCTTGCTCGCAGCTTTTTCAGTCCTATATTTCACTGTAATTTCTTGAGAGTATCACAACCTGCAGTGCCCAGGCAGCAGCACCTGTGTGCTGTGTGGAGTTTCAGAGATAGTGCTGCTGTCTCTGGAGCGTGTAGTGCCCACTTCAACAAGTGAAACCCACATTCAACAAGTGCTGCCAGCTCCATTCACAGGCTGTAGGGACAAACTCCTCCAAAGCCAGTCACAAGACTAGATTACAGATCCTGAATGAATCCATGTCTAAACTCAGTATTAAGGAAATTTAATGCAGGCACTTTCACTTACAGACGTTCTTGCAATGCCTAGGATCTATCTGAGTTTCTAAAAAGCGAGTTTTTAATTATGAGCAGAGAAACAATAGCTCATTTCAGCATGAGAAAGAATACAACCACTATTTTTCCATGCTGTGTAATTTAAAAATAGGTCAACTCATTAACTTTGAAGCTTTCAAAAATACTAAAACTGAAATACAAGGCTCAATTTATTTTTGTTTTTTAAGCCAGACCCAGAGATTGAAGAGTTTTAGACCAATGACTGCTTTAAAATGATGCAAGAGGATAAAGTTTTTGAACTACAAATCTAATATAGCCAGAACAGATTGATTTAATAGTAAATTTTTAAACAGAAAGTAAATTTTTAAACATTGACTAGATTTGAAGCATTTAAATAAGACCAGAGCATTAACTGCACGCCAATTCAGAAATGCTGCAGGGCCTGTAATTTGTCACTCTGCACATATAGATCAGGATGACTTTTCTCACTTTTCTCCATCGTGTGCATGTTCAGAATGCAAACAGAGGCCAAAGTGCACCTGAACAGCCAATTGAGAAACTTCCCATATGTAATGTGAACCAGACAGAATCAATACATACTGCAAAAAATTTACTAGGAAAGGGCAATTTCTTACTCTGTACTTAAAAACATAACCCTGGGGTTGAGAATTACTCTCTTGACATTTTGTAAGTCAACAACAACAGAATTATGATTAGTGGGACCTTGACTTGCAGTGCTTCCCAATCACCTTGTGCAGGACCTGGGGAACACCTGGTGTGCATTCAGTATGAAACAGAAGTTCATCAGTGCCAGTGCCCAACAGGCTTCAGGGCTGTGTTCTCTATGCCAAAATTGAATTTAAGCAAGTTGTTAGTAATCACTTTTCAAGTATTTATTTTACTGAGGGAGGGAGGAGAGGAAAATCAAGCTATTTAGCTTTCCAAGTATTTAACATAAAACCCAGAAGAGCTCCATCTGGCAACCAGCAGGATTTCTAAATAATCTAAATAGTATCTACATAAGAACCAGGCTGTCTGTGGAGTGAGACAACTTCAACTTTTACTGCCACAAGAAGTCTTTATTAACATAAAAGGAAATTATAAAGAATTACGTTAGAGCAGGAACAAGAGCCTGGCAAGCTGACAAAAGACCCCAGGAATCTCTGCATTAATCTCAAAATGCTGCTTTTGACTTGTTGGAATAGAGCATCATACTCTGCGTGGTTTTAAAAAAACAAAATAAAAAATCCTTTTAGGTTCAAAGGACTAGAGTACAATAAAACCAGCTCTAGGAAAATATTCAGATTAATGAAAATCAATATGTAATTCCTTACTTTGCAACACAAAAAACAACCCGTAACATTTGAACATAGTTTGGAAAACATTAGTATTTAATTAAAGTCATAGACAAGGCCCTTCATGTCCACAGATGTCTGTCTTCATTAAGAAGATGGTTCTGAGTAGTGCTGCTAATTATGTAAATTAAATAAACTTTTGAACTAGTCTTACATATAAAAAAGATGATAATTCTAATTCCCAAGTAAGTAAACACCTCAGAGTATACAGTATTTAATTTTCTGTGTTATTAATATGAAGGATCCGGCCTTGCACTTCATACCTAGCCCATATATTTTTTGGATCATTTGTGAGTGATCCAAACCTGGTGGTGGTTTGGTGTCATATGGGAAATATTTAACTGGTCCTCAATGCCCTTGTCAAGTTGCCATTGGGATTTTCTGTCAGTTTCTTGGCAAAAAATCAGAGTGAAACAGTGGGCCCAAAAAAACATGTTATGGTGATCCTGTGAGGATAGGGCAGCCTTGAAGCTCTGCGTTTTCCGCTATCCCTGGGCTACAGGAAGAGAATTTCTATCTTTATCATTACCCATCTGGCACCTTTCAGAGGCAGCAAGAACAAAGAAGTAAAATGTACTGGCCCCTACCATCTGCTTCTGCTTGTGAAGCCTGGAAAGAGCCTGATAGGGGAGAAAGCAAAGAAAGATAAAACCCAACCCCTCTGTTTCCCACCAAACTGTTCTGGCAGGTACACGTTGTGCCTGGACTTCTTACATATCTTAGGGCCACCCTGGAGACCTCTGGTTCCCTACAGCAGCACAGCTGCTGAACACAGAGCATCCCAAACACTCCCAGCCCCACGTCCTCGCTCCCAGCCTTCTGACAGCCCCGAAAGAAAGGTTGTGCTGTCTGAGATTTGCTTTATTGGAACAGCCACTGTTTTATCTAGAATAGCAAAATTCCTGTGGGTTTAATAAGAGGTATTGCCCTACAGATTTTCTCTGGTCCCACCTCCTTTCCCATCAGCCACATCCCCGGTTACTGCAAGGCTGCATACACCATGTGTTGGCTGGACCCCTTCTGTCTCTGACAGAAGTTTGGCCAAAAAGAGCAGATTTTCTGCTACTTTGATCATTTCCTGTGGTAAAAAGTGAAGGGAATTATCTGACCCAGGGTCTTTTTTTTCTTTCTTAGTTTTGAAAAATAACATGGCTTTACATTTGCAAGTTCCCTTAAATAGTGTACTTGCTTTCCAATAGCATTTTGCTGCTGGCTTACTGGTTGCCTTACAGAACTTACTTTTTTTAGAATCTGAAAACACATTGCTCTGATCTCAAACTCAAACTCAGCTGCTGTATTACATCAATAATGACCTTCCCTATGCCGAAGCAGCAACCACAAGATAGTATCAAATTTACAGACAATACAAAGGTGGCAGCTTCTTCCCTGTTAAAAAATGGTTACATTTAAAAAACAGCTTCTCTTGTGGTGGGAATATCGGGTTTTTGGCTACAAATGTGCATTGCATAATGTCTTTAGAAATAAGTTAACTATTTTATTGAATGTACTGTTAGAGTAGTTTATGACGTATGTGATATAAGCACCCTAAAACCTTTTTTCCCCTCAAGACTCCACATCAGAAAACATCTCATGCTTGTGTAAGCCCATGGTGAAATAGTCACAGTACCTGCTGACTTAAATGGTGTGGAAGATTTGGGAACAGGGACCTAAGTATGGTGCCAAGTGACAATCACTGACCTCGATGAGCCCTGCAAGTGCCCCCTGAAAACTCATCCATTTTGTATTTTTTCTGGCCCAGAGAGTACAAAGTAAACAAACAACATGGATCTACCTATCTGAACTAATGTCTTGTGTCAGAATTAATATTCTATAGGAATAAATTCCAAATAAATTATCACAATATACATTAAGTCTTTATAAATGTGGCACTACAGCATTTAAAACAGACACACTTAGTAGTGGCACTCCACTTTTTTCAGCTCAGAAGAATGCCATAATGTGCAAGTTGTGCTTGTTGGCAACTGAACTTTTTTTTTTCCCCAACTTTGCTGTGCTAATTACATGAGTAGCACAGATTTTGACAGATACACTGTTGAGCTGAGGCCAGAGTGCAGTGTGTGCCTCCCTCTGTGCGAGTTGTACTCGCAAAAGAAATGACTGAACATTTTTAACTGTTAAAATTATTATTGTTTTAAATTTTACAGGAAGCTACTTTGGTGAGTTTACTATTTGTGTATATGTATTTTTTTTTAATCAGCCTGTTAAAAAATCATGGTCTGGCTACATTTCCCACTTTATTTGTAAAACTGAATTCTCCCAGAACTCACACAACTCAAAAGCAAAGGGAGACCTGGGGCAGTCTGGTTTCTTTCAGTATTAAAAAAAAGAAGATATGTACTTATTTATATATGTATGCGTGTACCTCACTTAAAAATATAAGAAAGGGGAGGAAGAATCTACAGTAACCTTGTTAAAACAAAAATTGCACTAAACCACTTCAAACAAGATCTTACCACAACAAAAATCAGCATTATCATCGTTAATAATACAGTGCCTTTCATATGCAGAGGTAATAAGGAGGCTGTACCGTGATCCATGTAACCTCAATAACGTATAAATGAATCAAAAAGGATCTAATTAGTTCAGCAGCACCAAAAACTATTAAGTAGAAACATCAAAAGAGCCAGTGGGACATTCTTTTCTTTTTGTTGGCCGTGCTGCAGAGCTGCCCTTCAAAATTCTCTGGTTTGTATCGGGAAGGAGGAGGCGTCACCCATGGAGGTGACAGTGAGTGAGGAGAGCTGGAGCTGAAGGATGCTCCCTGTACCTGCACCCTGCAGCTCCCCAGCACCATCCCAGCACATCCACACGAAGCCCTGCCCATCCAGGATCTGTGCAAAGGAAGGGTGGAGCGGGTTCCTCTCCTCCTGTCTGGGGCTGGAGATAGCACATCCTGAGCGCCTTGCGCTTGCTGCTGCCCCTTTTCCTCCTTCCCGCTGAGCCACGGCGGAAAAGGAGCAACGCTGGCCTGGGAGGTGCCTCAGCTCCCACCGAGACACCACGAGGGAGGGAGATACAAAGGACAGCTGAGCAGATACTGCCACCAGGACAGAGCCACAGGAGCTCCCTGGAGATGGCCTTGGCCTCCTCCGAGTCCCTCCGGACTCTACAGCTGCTCCTGCCGTACAGATGGGAAAACGTTTGAGTGTGCACACGTGAGAGCCTCTTAGGAAATACCTGTGGAGGCATCTCAGACAAAATTAGAACACTGTGTGCATATATTTATTAAAAATCAGTGAGAGGACTTCTATACTTCACCACATAGCTGTGGGCACCCGTGTCTCCGCAGCACACACCGCACGGTGAGAACATCTCACCCCGCAGGAGCGCAGCCTGGGCTGATTACGGCAAAGAAAAGTCTTGTTCATACAATCCACTGAAGTCAGACAAGTTCCATTTAAATATAAACAAAACCTAACACAGTGGTCCACTTAAGGAGGTCCAGAGGTCCAATTAAGGAATTCTTTTTCTCTGACCCTGAAGATACGGATACAGCTTGTATCTCCTCCGACAGATGTATCTGTCCACTACCCAGTAACGTTTCACTCCACTTAAGTAAAAGCATCATATGCAAGAGAAACAATAATGCTATAAAACAAAGACTTTGACTACTCCAGGTCTATTCCATACCCAAAATCCCAAAGGTTTCCTTCTTCAAAGGAATAATGTCCTCAGTATTTGTTAAAGTTTAAGCCACAGTAAGAACACCTTTAAGGTGCTTCCTCCAATAGCTTTCAACATGGTTCGGTCTGCAGACCTATAAAAAAACCCCACAATTATGCAATGGAGCAGGACACAGAAACAAAACCTCCTTTCCTAAAGACTTGCTCTTCTATTTACCTTTAACAGAATATATAGAAGGCAACAGATCTCACATGGCCACAAAGACCAGGCTGACAACATTCATCATTGCAACTCTGGGAACTACTGCAGTATGCACTAAGCTCCACTCACACCTGCCAAGGAATTCAACTGGAGGTCAGCTGCACCTCAGAAGTTAGCCATGATCTCCTGTAATCTGCAACATCAAATTCAAACTGCTTTGGTAAAAATCTCTGCTGAGGAGCTCCAACACAAACCTCTGAGGTTTAATTAAAGCACCCACTCCAACAAACCTTCACAATCCCAAGAAGACAAATGGCACACACCGGGCTAACCAGCAGAGTTAAGCTTTCCCAGAAATAATACCAAAACTCATAGATTTAACACACAGATGGCTGACAATATCTGCAAGAATTAAAATACAAAACCTTCTCAAAAGGTAACACCGAATGCTGATAAAGACAAAGCAAGCCAGGCTGTGCCCTGCTGCAGCCATCACCAGCGCTCTGCAGAGCGGTCCCAGTGCAATGCCAGTGCACAGCAATCCCAGTGTGTGCAACACTGCCCAGCTGTCCACAGATCCAACTGCAGTAGCTCTGTCAGAGGCTCCTGAGGAGGAGGGGTAGTACTGGGAGAGGGACAGTATTTATGCAAATAACAGAACTGAATTGAAGCCTGTATGCTGCTGTCTAGAACTTAGTTACGTTTGTACCACCCATTCCCTGGAGGAAATGACATACAATACAAACAGGCCTAGTTGTTCAATTCTTCAAGTATTAAGAGATTCACAGAAAAGCATCTGAGAAACATAACATTTTAATAGATGAAATAAATACTCCAGTACATGCAAGATAAAAACTGACATTGGAAAAAAATTAAAAATCACTTTTGTTATAGTGTAATTTTGTTTGTTTGTTTAAACACTCACAGTAGCTTTTCCCCCAGTTTGGAAATCAACACGTGGAAAACATAATCACAACCTCCAGTCCTTCCACTCCTACACACCAAATGCACCTCTAACCTAACACTTGATGCAAAATAAAAAGTCATACAAAACAAAAACAAACAAAATAGTAGCTACATCCATCATCTATGTGTTGTTGGGCTTTTTCATTTTTTTAAATGAGTAAGAACTGAGGTAACCTTTTTCCTGCACAACCGAACAGCAAAATTTAGAAGGGAAATTTCGGAAGACAAGACAAGACAAACTTTAAAAACCGCACCCAGCGCGATTAAAGCTCTTTTTTTTTTTCTCCTTTTTCTAAGATACCCCCACCTCCCCAAATATAAAAAACTTTGAAACAGTTTTACCACTTGTGTGAAGACCTTGTTGAATAAAGGAAAATTTATCTGCAGATACTTGCTTAACTTTAAAGTAAAATAAAAAGAAGCCAAAACTGGCTACCTTTATTAGTACATATAGTTTGAATATGTTCTGCTTCTTCACCACATGAAATCAAAGGATTGGGCTCATCCAAGCAAATTCTTTGGTATACAAAAAAGGGGTGAGGAGGTGGGATATTATTTTCCTTTAGCAATGACTGGGATCTAAACAGAAGATGTGGGGGTTAATTCACAGAATTGGAGTTCACTGGCGGTAAAGTCCTGGGTGAAGATCTTTCTCTTAGTGCCTGAGATAGCAGGTTGCAACCATCCGAGACGGCGCAAGCTGAGTTCCTCAACCTTTCCCTGTAATCGCTCATTTTGGTGCTACTTTCGGGGTGTTGGGCTATATCCCTGAGGCATTGGGTCAGGAGCACACAAGCAGATACCACACTCATGGCTCCTCCTAGGATGGCAGTTTGCACAGCTTTGCCCTCTGGATTAATGGTGGCAGCTTTACCCAAAAACTGGGGCTCAGTGGCAAAGCCCACCAGAGCATAGACAGACTGCACCAAAGGTCCACTGAACAAGACGCACCGGTTCCTGGTCAGCTCGCTGGGTGAGGTCTTAACCTCCTTGACACAGGCCAAGAGGGCAGAGGCGCTGGTGCTCATACACTTGACACTGAGTTTGAACTGCTCCTTAGCAAATTTATCCTTGGATTTCTCACTGGCCAGCACGCAGGCGTCTGTTAGGAATTTCAAGTTCTTGGACATGTTCTGAGAAACCTCCAGCAGGAGCTGAGGGCTCATATCTGCCAAAGGGGTGGTCTTCAAGACCCCGCAGCCGTGCTCCACCTCATGCCTACATCGGGTGACCTTGTAGCGATCCACCAAGCCAGGCATGGCAGGCTGGGCCCCCGGAGTCTCCACTGCAGCCAGGTAGGCAGCGTGGGCAGAGCACTCGGTCAGGGAGACCACCAGCTCCCCCATCTCCATCAGGCTTTCTCCCACCTCCCCGAAGCGTCCCATGTTGAGCTGGCTCTGGACGTCATGGGTCAAGATGGAGAGTCCTTTGGTCCTGGCAATGATCGTGTCCCTGCACTTCTCGAAGGACTCACCGAAGACAGACAGACTCTCGGTGTTCACCGGCCTGGTCTCGCTCGACAGCAGAAGCAAATCGGCCACCAGTTGCATCTTGATCTTGCAGTGGTCGCAGATAGAGATGAGCTTCTTCCTCTGCAGGGAGCTGCTGCTGGGGATGCCGCCGGCGGAGACCTCGCTGCTGGACTTGCCGGAGCCACCGCTAGCCATAGCGCCGGGGGGGCACTCGCATGCCGCTCGCTACCCCGCTGCCGCCGCCTCCCGAGCAGTCCCGACTGAGCCCGGCAGGATCGCTCTGCCTTTTCCGCAACATCATTCCATTAATCGCCGGGAGGCAAGAAAAGGCTGTGGGCGCCGGGGCT